ATTAATGTGGCAAATGCATTTAATTCTTCTCTATGTCTCATTTTTCAAAGTCTGTGGCAAATGTCACATCACTGATTTTCTAGATAGGAAATTTCTACTTCATACACCAGTCTATTGTAAAATAATGTTGCCTTCCACTCTCTATATTAAATATATCTTGTTCTTTTTATTCCTAATGATACAGATCTTTTAGACTATTTTAATCTTTTGATTCACTAAACTAGAATCAGCTTCTCCAGTAAATCTTAATGCTGCTGGTAAGATTATTTTCTCATCATTGTTTTGGTCTGCGTAATATTTTTTTAGTTTATCCAACTGACTGAACTGAGTAGTAGTGGTATGCATGCAGATCCTGCAAACAAATTGCTTGGGCGCAAATCATATCTTACTAGCTAAGTAACCGTAAATAAGTAACCTTAAATAAGTTACTTCACTAATTTTTGCTAATTCTCCCCTTATGTAGCCTGGGGATAATCATAGTCCCTTCCTCATAAGTCTGTTGTGAAGATTCATATGATAACGTGGCACATGGTGCAGGGTACATGGTAACTGCCTGATAAATGGCAGCTATTACTGTTTTTATTATTAAAGGCCCGCCTTGATCCAAACTCATCCAAGAATTAGAGTCATATTTCTAAACTATACTACTATAATTATATTACCACTGCTAGTGATCCTTGATACTACTTCTGTCTTTCTGGATGATGTAGTCAATGGATATGTCTCAGAGAAAAGATTGTGGCCCATGTATTCATTCACTGGGTATAGCCTGGTGCTGAATGATGTACTTCCTTTATGTTAGTATCCTATCACCCTGAACCTTCTACTACTTGCTTCTGGGACATCCTCAAAGTGTCTGTGTGTCTTATTTTTATGCAGAGGTCCTGATAGTTTTCCATCAGATATATTCCTCTGTCTAATGAGCCCTAACCAGTGGAAATTATTCAAATATTAAGAGTGATCTTTATGTATCCTCTATGTGTTATTTATTATTATTATTAACATCCTTAATAATTTAATCAATATTGCCTTTTATATTGTAAATTGACTTTGGGTTGAATTTCATTCATTCTTTCCTAATTCCAAGGAATATATCTCAAGTATTTACTAGGTATAAAGTAAGCATACAGTGTTCAATAGCTGTTGTTCTAGGAGGGGCTTACAAACAAATTGTATATTACCCATATGGTTATAGGTAACTTTGAAAAACATGATAAGCATAATACTTTCTGTGCTTTCTTCACTGATATGGACAAATTAAACAAAATACATTGGTATTATACATGAATTAATATAAAAATCTGGATATGAAAACAAAAATATATGGCATAATAGTTAAGGTCAACTTTTTGTTTAAAGTCAGGCAATAGGAAATTTAAGCAGTGGCTCTTCTTTTTCATTTTCATGTAGTGTTAAAATGTAAATCTACAGTGTCCGTTCATTTAATATTTTAGAAGAATGTATCTCTAATTATCTATAGTGGTTCACATGAAGACTGATTTTAAACAAATACTTGCCTTAGTTTATTGGCATATTTATCAGACAGCGTATACATGGTAGATACAAAAGACAGAAAAGTAAGTCAACTCTCAAAACCCACTGCCACCAAGTCAAATTTGACTCACAGTGACCCTGTAGGACAGAGTAGAACTGCCCCATAGGGTTTCCAAGGCTGTAAATCTTTACAGAAGCATCCTGCCTCATCTTTCTCCCATGGAGTGGCTGGAACTCCGTATTAAAAACAAAGGTTTGATTCAGTATCAAAAGTAACAGTTGGTTAAAGTGGGTTCAAATCACTGACATTTCAGTTATAAGCCGAGCATTTAACCAGTACACCACCAGGCCTCCTTAAATACACCCAAGATGCACAAGTTTTGGACTCTCTTACTATGTTTATGAAATGGTTTACTAAATTAAGCACTGAGAACCATACTCAATCAAAGTCTATCAAAGTCAGTGATCCGACAAGAAATCTTAGAAATAATAACAAGCTCAGTCAGAAGCTGTTTTTGTTTGGGGGAACAGCTCTGTCTTCTACCAAAATGTGAATGAAGAACAGAGAACAGGAACACTTTTCTCCTTGAGAAGAATGTGATGAGTGAAGCAACAGGTTATTTCCTTGGGTACTAAGCCTCCTTAGAAATCACCTGCCTGAGGTTTTAATTATTGATTTCTGTTTAGCTCACATGTTAGAAAGTAACTTTTCCTTTGCAGTCCACCTTCTAGGCCCATTGCCACCTCTGATTCAAGTTCTAGTCTTTGAAGTGTTCAGCTGAACACTTAAAGAAGTCCTATATCATGAACCCACAATGAATAGTTTAAAAGTTATGGAAGAGAAGTCACATTTTCCATCTTTGGCTTTTACAGTGCACTTACAGTTAGAAATATGGAATGAAATGTTTCAAACGATAAATGATAAATTTATTAAAGAGTATCTGATCAAATAGCACAAATAATGTGTCTGTCCATATATATTCACTTAAAAAGGATCACATTACTGTGGGTTCTGAGAACTAACAAAAATGGGCTCTTGGCTAGTAAGGAATTTTTGAGGCAATTACAAAGCACATGAGTTTTCAAAGGAACATGTTATTTTTCCTTTATCCTGAAGGGTAAATGTGTTAAGTATCAAAAGACATACACAGTCTTTTCTTGGATCACCAAAAGAAAACACCCTTAAATAACCTTTATTTATGATACTGAAAGCTCTCATAATCAGACAGAAGTCAGAGAGATTCAAGAAAACTAAGGCAATACTTTGTCTACGAATTCATTTTGTGTAAATTGCTATGGATCTTTAAAGAGATACACATTCTAAAACATAAGCAGCCCTGGTTACACAGTGATTAAACACCTGGCTTCTAACCAAAAGGCTAGCAGTTCTAACCCACCAGCCACCTCATGAGAGAAAGATGTGGCAGTTTGCTTCCTAAAAGGTTAACAGCCTTGTAAACTCTATGGGGCAGTTCTGCTCTGTTCTGTAGTTTCATTAGGAGTTGGAATCAACCAGATGGCAATGCATTCATTCTAAAATATATTAAATGAGTGGAAACTATAGATTTTTAATTTATTACAATTCTAGAGAAGTGTGTACATGAGAAACCTGTCTAGGCACACTCCCACTGAACACATACAGTTTTGTTGTTGCTATTATTTGTTGCCATGAGTCTATTCTGATTCATGGTGACCTCACATGTGCAGAGTAGAAATGCTCTACAGGGTTTTCAAGGCTGTGCCCTTTCAGAAACCAGTCACCAGGCCTGTCTTCTAAAAGGCCTCTGGGTGAGTTTGAACCTCCAACCTTTTGGCTAATAGCTGCATACATAACAGTTTGTGCCACAAGAGTTTTATTCTATAGCAAAATTTGTTTTACTTCTTTTTATTTGTAGTTTTACAAATGCACCAGTATCTTGATTTCTATGAATATAAAGAAAGAAAAAACCAAGAAGTCTCAGTAACCTCAGAATTCCTAAGACTAATGTTAAGGGAAAGAGAATTTTAGAGTTCAAAATGGGGTTCTGTAGAGGCAAAACCCCCTGAGATACAAGTCTATTTAATAGCTGTGTCTCTGTTCACTTTACAATTTTGATGAACATTTATATGACCTTAGGTATATATTGTATAAGTGTAAAATAATATGTTTGGTCAATGTCCATAGAACTAGTTTGGAATGCAGAAGACCTCATAATCCTACTAAAAGGCAAATTAAATGATATATTCATTCTTAAGAGGAAAGAAATAGCAACCAGTTTATCACTAATGTTAGAAAATTATTTCTCTCTGAATAAAATGGGGTTTATATGAGTCTCACGTATTCATTAGAGATAGGAAACAAAGGAGACTGTGGTAAGGGAAAGTGTTTTTGTAGTATGTTGGAATGAGTCCACATAACTTTATTGCTCATATTTTAGCCTTAACAGGCATAATTGCAGCTGAACAGTCATTAGGAACTGTGTGGTGGTTTATCTTCTCCAACGCCATTACTCACCTTCAGGTCCCGATGGACTACGCCCATCTGATGGCAGTGTAGCACAGCCTCCAGGATCTGCTGAATGCAATGACTGCATGCAAACACCAGGGGGCGTGTGTTAGTTCCAAGCTTACACTCACTGTCTGTATACCCTCAGAGAGACTGGGTTAAAGTGCAAAACTGGCAGACAACTGGGGATGTATTTTACCACCTCCAGTAATGCAAACATATTGCTCAAGTAGAGTGACTACTACCTCAGAGCAATCCAGATCTTGCCAGATGTGTGTCAAGATATGGGATCCACTTATTCTAGAAAAATCTATCTTGAAAATACTTCATTTAATTCAGGAAACAGTTTTCTGGTTATAAATTCTTAAAAGGAAATGGATTGGAACACAAGTATCATTTTTATGGCTGTGGCTCGCCACCCAACGCCCCCAACAAAAAACTGGTTTTGCTATTCTCTCTCATTTTTCTAGCATTGTTCCAAAAGCTGACACATTAGGAGTCAAGGCACCATTAAAGTTAAATTAGTAAAAATAATGAATTTTTGATAAATCATTAACTTCTTGTGTTTTAATTTGGCTGGCAATTATTATCTCTTGCCTGAGGGTTCATCAGACTCAAATGGCGCAATGTGTAACCAGTTGTTCTGCTACAGCAACCCATGGTCTCAGAACAGAAGTGGTGTTTAAATCTACAGGCAGACATACATCACAGACCAAGTTTATCTCCAGGCAGATGCTGGATAATTCAGAAAGCCTGCCCCCCAACCTCCTCTGGTGGTGACTGCCTGGCACCTTAACAGGCTGTATTCTTAATACTGTTCTTTTCTTTTTGCTATGATGTATATGTAGCCTGTAGATGAGCAAACTGAAAGAGGCATCATGCATTATCATTTTATCATTTAATTGTTTTAGGAAAAGGCAAGGGAACCATGTAAAATACCCACCCTCTGCCCTTTTCCCAGAAAGAGTGAAAAACAAAAAGAAATTCCTTTGATTCAGATTTATGGACTCCACATACTGACCTTCAGGTCCCTGTGAACTATGCCATTTAGGTGACAATGATTTACACTTTCTAGAATCTGCTGTATACAATGACTGTAAAGATACAAGGGTAGAATGGAAGGGAGAACATTTTAAAGGCACATAATCACATTGGATACAAAATAAAATGGAAGTCCAAACAAAACAAACAAACAAACAAAAATTATATTTGTCAGGTATTTTTAGCTTTACAGTGGAATTAAAAAGTGCTGAATAAAGCTAATTTTGGTTCTAACAAAAATGACATCCAACATAGAATTTGTGACATGTTCAGATAAAACAATTTGAGCTGTGTTTTTTCATTACAAGTCTACAAATTAAATCATAGAGAGAGAAGTTGAAATTTCCATATTTAGCAAGAAAAATTTATAAATAATTCCCATAATTATCTGGAAAAATTCTCCAAAGCTGTAAAACATATAGGTATTTCTTACACACATCTAAACTGTTTAAAATCTGAGGTCACAATTAAACATAGGCGTTGAAACAAGAGGGTAAATAAACACAGATGAAGTGGCAGGTGAAACAAGGGTTAAAAAATGGAGGGACACATTTACTATTTTGGCTTGAAACTGGTGCTTCTTGTATAATATGCAAATCCGCAATAACAGAGGGAGGATTTAAAGTAAACCCATGATGTAAAACAAATCCCTCTTCAGTACAGAAATATTCTGGGGAAGGGCTAGAAATCTTGTAAAAAAATAAATATTTAAAAATCCTCTGGAGCAATAGTAATTGTTAAACATTTCTAAATACCTCAACTGAGAAAAACCTTTGCCTGCTACTTTGTCAAAATGTATAACTTATATTATTTTTATTAAAGGCTCACTGATGTCAAGTAGATTGCTAATTAAATTAGCAGGGAGAAATCATTGATTGCCACATATAAGGTCCCATGAGCTGTCATTTGACATACAGTAATAGAGAACAGATCACACTGATGAATTTTGTACAAGTGCACTGTGCAAGTCAAATGCAGATATGTAAGGAACTACATTCAGTTATTTAAGAATAAGCAAACATTTTAATAAGGACATTTTCAAGTATTCAATGCACAAGATAATATTCCTCCAAAGTATATTTCTAAATTTAAAAAGTAATCATGATTGATGACAATGTTGATGTCAAAACAATGATGTGTGTGATTTTCCAGCTATAACTCTATTAACAATACCACTAAACAGTCTCACTTTAGTGGTTTTTGAGTAAATAACTTATCTGAGTGTTAGTAATTATTTTTTAAAGTATATGACTCTTTCTTCTGCAGTAATGCTTATTTTGTACTACTTTTTAGGGATGTTTCTCTTTTCTGGAACCACAGGCATAATTATTGAGCCTAGGGAACAACAAAAAATAAAGAAGCAAGCAATAATTCACATTCCATGAAGATTGCCATTTTATTCACTAGTGACAATGGATTCAATTCTTAACTTCTTGAGGGCTAGTAAGAAAACTTACATGAAGAAATTATTTGAGGAATATCCTCTATTGCTTAGAGTTGAGAATGTTTCTTCTTACTTTGAAGTGGGACCTATTCTAAAATATAATTCCCAAACTTCTTATAAGCATGCATATTAAATGGTATATAACCCATAAGGTATATCCTTTATGGCCCTTTAACACTGAAAAAAAGTCTCTATTTTAATTTCTACCAATAATGTACAAACATCGTGACAATCTGCTTAATGTAACCTTAAAAGGTAAAATAACAATTATAATTTTCTAACTTGTTTTACTGCCTTGATCAAGACTATTATTCTCTTTTGGCAAGTGGGCAAATAGCTATTTTCTAAGAATTCTCTGAAACCCCTGTTCAGAGCCCTAATGTGAAGATTTGGGAGTAATTTGAATAAGTGAGCATATACTTATCAAGTAATAGCACAGGACTTTTTATTTGAGTTTGGCACTAAAAATCCCATTATAAATTAGAGTGTAGTCATGTACAGAAAGGTTCCATAGAATGCCAAAATATATATATATATATATAATATATAGAAGTCTATGCTTGTATGTATTCATGTGCTACTTTGAGGAGTGGACAGGAAGCCTCTCTATCAGCTGAGTATCTAGTGAGGATCAGATTACAGTGGAAGTGACAAGCCTTCTGAAGCTCAGACAGCATTAGAGAATGAGGACAGTCAATAACTGAATTTTCATAGCATCTCATTTACACTGCTAATAATGAGCCAATCACAACAAGATAATGAGATTTTACAAAATAAGTGCCATCTATAAAATATAGATGGAGTCCCTGGGTGGTGCAAATGTTCTCACTCTTGGCTGCTGACAAAAAAGTGAGAGGTTCAAGTTCACCTGGAGGTGGCTCTGGTGATCTCCTTCCAAAAAATCAGTCATTGAAAACCCTACGAAGCATAGTTCAACTCTGATACATACAGGGGTTGCCACGAGACAGGCTTGACAAAAACATTTTTTAAAATTTTTTTTATAGATCACATATAAGGAAAGCTGAGGAAAATTAGAATCATATAGTCTAAATAATATCTAAGTAACTGAATTTTCGAATTAATGTTCCACTGCTATCAAAATGATTCTGACTCATAGTGACTGTATATGACAAAGCAGAATTGCTCTACAGGGTTACCAAGCCTGTAAATCTTTGTGGAAGTTGACCGCCACATCTTTCTCCCATGGAGTCACTGGAAGTTTCGAACAACCAAGCTTTTGGTTAGCAGCTGAGTGCTTTAACTATGGCACCACCATAAGGGCTCCTGGATTAATATTACTTCACTCCAAAAACACTGCTTTGGTGGAGCTTGTTATGTGCCGCCGAGTCAGCCCGGACTCATAGCGACCCCTCCTTGGGTTTCCGAGGCAGTATCACTATGGAAGTAGATTGCCCCATCTTCCTTCTGAGGAGTGGCTGGCAGGTTTGAACTGCCAGCCTTCTGGTTAGGAGTCAAGTGCCTTAGGCACTACACTACCAGAGCTCCCTTGGTGTAGTCTAGGAAGTTTCAATTTAAAATGTTAGCCTGTTATAACTTCTGTAATGATGTTGCCAATTAGCAAGATTAGTTAATCTAAAATACCTGCATAAATACTTTTTTAAGGCAGAGTTCCAAAGGCTTTAATGTAATTTCTAAAGAGCTAAACAGCTAAAAATAATGCTTTAAGGAGACCACTGGAGCTTTTGTTAGTCTCCTTTCTTTTATGGTCTTTGACTAGACATGTGGTGGTCAATAAAACCTTCTATAATAATGGAAATGTTCCAGATCTCCTTCATCCATTTGGAAATCATGAGCCTGGCTATAAACCACTGAAAAAGTGGCTAGCTCAACTGAGGAGCTGAAGTTTTAATCTTAATTAATTTAAATTTAAATTTAAATAGCTACACATGACTAGTAACTAGCGCATTGAGTGGCCCAAAACTAGAGCTCTTTGATCTCTGTCTAAAACATGTATTTATTTAGCAGAAGTTATTCATTAGGCTTTTTCCTTTTGGCTTTTTACAAAAAGATGCAATCTAACTCTAATGTTAAGCAAAAATAAGGTTTAGACCATTTTCATAGATTTTCTTCCCGAAAAGAATCCTGAAGATCCTTAAGGAAGAGAAATACCAATTAAGAGGGACTGATCATGAAAAGAAGTCTAAAGATGGTATTATGAGATTCTTATAAATACGGAAGTGTCATGATTCATTTATGAAGAAATATATTGAACAAGTGCTATCTGAATGTTGAGTGTTTTTATCTTTTCCAGGGCAAGTCACTTACCTGGCATCAGCTTCACTGTAATACTCTCTTGCCACTATGTCTTCAAACAGTTCACCTCCAGTGACTCTGTGAAGACAAGTGAGATACATGTAAAAAGAGAAGAAAATAAGGCATGGCTAGGCTTGCAACTACTGTTGTTAGTTGTTGTTAAGTAGAACTGCTCCATAAGGCTTTTATGGCTGAGACCTTGCAGAAGCAGACTGACAGGCCTGTCTTCTGACATGCCTCTAGGTACTTTCAAGCCACTAACTCTTGGCTACAGGTCAAGTGCTTAACCATTTGCACAACCTAGTGACTAGTGTTCATAATTTTCTTTTTCTCATCAGATTCTTTTAAAAAATTATTACCAGAATATAAGGTATATTAAAATATCATGAGTTACAAGTTCATAATAATCTAATTTATGTTAATCTAAATATTTCCATCTCTTCTATTTGTGTTTGTATCACTAGATCCTGAAACACAATTTTCTGTATGTTCTAATAATAATTTAAAAAAATCCCCAAACTCACTGTCATCAAGTCGATTCTGACTCATAGCAACCCCCATTGTGTTTCTAAACTATAAATCTTTACAGAAGGAGACTGTCTCAACTTTCTCCGGTGGAGCAGCTAGTGGGTTTGAACCACCAACCTTCTGGTTAGCAGCCAAAAACGCCTTATCCACCACGCCACCAGCACAACTTCAGTAGCATCTCTTATAGATACTGGTTTCTACAAAAATCTTCAACACTCCACACAGTAATTTTGGTCTGACAAAAGTGCATGGAATAATTTGGGAGCATTTTCTTAACAAAAAGAGAAAATGATACATATCAGGGCTGCTGAGCATGAGTTTGCAAGTTATCTCTCTCTGGAAGGGTCATTTTTTAAATTGCCCTATGGACTAGAACATGTCCTATAGGCTTATATACTACGACTTCAAATTCCTTTATGTTCCATGTATTTGGGAGCTCTGGTGGCATAGTGCCTAAGGCATTTGACTGCTAACCAGAGGCTGGCGGTTCAAACCCACCAGCCACTCTTCAGAAGGAAGGTTGGGCAATCTACTTCCATAGTGATACTGCCTCAACGCAAGGAGGGGTCGCTAGGAATTGGATCTGACTCGACGGCAGTGGGTTTTTTTTCCCCATGTATTTGTCAGTGTGCAAAGAATCAGGACTTCAGTAATGTCCTGGGAGGCAGTTGTAGCTAGCTTCACTACTAGCAAGGAACCTTATCTAACTATTCTTTTTAATGAGACTTTCCTACGTTTCAGCAACTGGATTTGTTTAACTCAGGAAGTTCCTTTAAACCCAGGGTTTCAAATTTCTTTAAAGAAAGAATGTGGTCATCTTTGGAATTTATTTCTTCTTTTGATTGAAAAATCACTGCTCTTTTGGTGAATTCCCTAATCAGTGGTTTTCTGCTTTAGATTAAAACACAAAAATAAACAAAAACCCCTGGGTTTTTAAATTTCAAAGTAATACAGTTTTGTAGTAAAATTCAAGCAATATAGACATGTGCTAAGTATTCCTCTAACCTCCATCCCCAATTCCAATCTCCCAAATGCATGAATTTTAGGAGTTTTTTGTAAATACTTTAAACTTTTTCTGTGTTTATCCTTAAATTATATACTTTACTCCTTGCAAACACATATATACCAACATATACTTTCTCACAAAGCAGGAACCATGCAATATGTATGTCTTAGTTATCAAGTATTGCTATAACAGAAATTTCACAAATGGATGGTTTTAAAAAACAGAAATTTATTCTCTCACAGTGTAAGAGGCTAGAAGTCCAAATTTTGGGTGTCATTTCTAGAGGAGGGCTTTCTTTCTCTGTCAGCTCTGGGAGAAGGTCCTTGCCTCCTTTCAACATCTGTGGGCCTGGCATCCCTTTAAGATCTCCATGTGTCTTGGCATCAATGTTCCCCTGCGTTTAGGAGGTCCTCAGTTCAGGCACCCTGAATCCAAAGGATGTAGTCTGCTTCTGTATCTTGTTTCTTGGTGATACAGTACTTATGTCCCTCCCCTCTGCTCATTTCCCTGTCATTTTCTCTCTTGTAAGATAAAAGATGATGCAGGACACATTCCAGGGAAACTCTCTTTATACCATGTCAGGGCTGTAACCTGATTAAGGATGTTGTATCCCACCCTAATTCCCTTACCACTGATATGCAGATCACATCATGGGGAATGATGATATGATTACATAAGGGCTCTGGTGGTGTAGTGCCTAAGGCTAACCAGAAGGCTGGGGGTTCAAATCCACCAGCCACTCCTTGGAAGAAGACTGGGCAATCCACTACGGTAGAGATACTGCCTCAGAAACCCAAGGATGGGTCGCTATGAGTCAGAAACGACTCAACAGCAGTGAGTTAGTTTTAGTTTAGTTAACTGCCAAACCATGGAGAATCGGTTCAGCCAAGTTTACACATATTTCAGGGGGACACAATTCAATCCATAACACTCTACCCTTGGCCCCCCAAAATGCATTTCCTTGCCACAATATTATCATCCCATTATATCATCCCCAAAAGCCTTAAATCAATATCAAGTCCATATCTCCCAGGCAAAATTCCTCTTCATCTGTTAAATCTAGAATACACTTTATCTGTTTCCAAAGTACAGTGGTAGAACAAGCACAAGGCAGACATTCCCATTACAACTGGGAAAAATACCAGGCACCAAGCAAGTCCAAAACCAACAGAACAACTTCTCTGAGACCAACTGGGTGAAGGCACTGCCCTCCAGATTCTAGGTGCTGGCCTCACTCTCTGGATTCTGGATGGAAGCCCCCGGCCCTGGGCTTCAACTCTGCCTTTCAAGCTCACTGGGATAGCAACTCTGCTCTTTTGGCTTAGGGCAGTTGCATTCTCTTAGTCCAACTGAGTGATGACTCCACCCCCTCGGCCCTGACAGGCTCCATTTTCTGCCCCTTGGGGTGGCATAGTGCCTAGAGCATTTGACTATTAACCAGAAGATTGGCGGTTCAAACCTACCAGCCACTCTGCGGAAGGAAGATAGGACAATCTACTTCAAAAGATTTACCTCCTCGGAAACCCAGTGGGGTTCTCTATGAGTCAGAATCGACTCGATGGCAGTGGGTTGGTTTGGTGTTTTGTGGTTTTGGGCATAGCAGACTGTATCTTCAGCTTTGGGCAGAGGCCTCTTCCCCCTGCACTCAAGACTGGCATTCACACATTCTGGAACCAAACTGGTAAAGAACTGACTCTGAACCCTAAGAGGCTGTAGCCGTACCTTTTGAAACCCCAGAGGCCATGGCCTCACCCACAGGGAACCTAGAATTCGTAGCCCCACTCTTTGAGACTGAGGCAGCTCTGCTTCCTATGCCCCTTGTCTCTATTTTTTATTGATTTATTTTTGCTCCTTATCTCTTCAGCTTCTGTGTCGTGGTTTCCTGGCCTCTCAGCCTCTTGGCCTCTCTGGCCTTTTGGGTCAGCCTGGCCTCTACCCTGCTCAAGAAAGTATAAAGTTCTTTAGCACTACCAGTAAGGCCAGGAGGCATCCCACTTTGCCAGTATGCCTCAACTAGAAGGCACTCAGCTATCCTGCCCCATGGCTCGGCAAGCTGACCTCCGTCAACAAGTGCTGGGAGGCACACCATTCCACTAGGAAGCCTCTTTCCCAACAACACTCAGCTCTTTCACTCGGTTGGTCAGATCCCATGCCATCTTTTTCTGGTATCCTGGTTCTGCTATTGCTGTTCCTCTGTCACTATTTCCTGCTGTCTGCGCCCTCTCTGGTTTTACAGCTCTCCTTACTTCCTTTTGAGCCCTCACCAGAACTGCCTTTGATGTCCATACTTTAATCAACAGTCTCTTCAAAATAATCTAGACTTTTACTATTGTCACCTTAAAACTCTTCCAGTCTCTACACTTTACCCAATTTCAAAACTGCATTTTAGGTACATGCTAGAACAGTCCCCCAATTATTGGAACTAAATTCTGTCTTTGTTATCTAGTGCTGCCATAATAGAAACACCACAAGTGGATGGTATGTTCTAGAGATCACTAGTTAGTATCCTTATTTCCTAACAAAAAAGATAAAATATTGAGATTAGGATAAAGAAAAACTTTTAAGTTTTATGGCATTTCATACTTTGAATGTCACTGATGTAGATGTGACACATTCACATTTTTCTTTTTTAACCAGAGGTATTCTAGAAAAGCTGAAAATTATAAACAATTCTGAACTGTTAACATATTTATCAATTATTTATTTAAAATTCTACTGTCAATAATAAAATTACAGCTGCTTATATTCTTTAAGGAGCTCTAGTGGCTTAGTGGGTAAGGTATTTGGCTGCTAACCAGAAGGTCAGCGGTTCAAACCCACCAGCTGCTCTGCAGGACCAAGATGAGGCAATCTACTTCTACAAAGATTTACAGCCTTGGAAACCCAGTGGGGGTCACTATGAGTCAGAATTGACTTGATGACAGTTGGTGGGATGTGCAAGTTCATACAAAATTACAAATTAAATAGTCTCATGAATCAACTGTTCTATTAGTTAATTAACTAATTATAGAGATTTTGTGAATAAATTGGTAACAGAATTTTGCTATATCAGGCACATTAATTATAGATTTGAAACATTAATTAGCATTTATGAATCTCCAGAACAGTAAGTATTACTGGTAAAAAATAATTCTAGAACCATGGGAAGATGACCCCCCCATGTATAAAAAAAGGTAATTTTTATCATTATTTAGAAGGATATTTATTCATACTGTGCTACACAGCATAATGAATTTTCTTTTGTTTGTAGTGTACATATTTGTGACATATCAGAAACAGTTGAAGATATTTTCATTTTGAACACAAAATTTGCAAATGTTTATGAGGAATATCCACCAGTCATCTGTCAGTTTGTCATACTCTGGTATGTTGCTGTGAGGGTGGAAGTTATGCCTTCAGTATTTCAAATACCAGGAGGGTCACCCATGTTGGAAAGATTTAAGCACAGCTTCCAACAGACGGGGAAGAAAGTGGGGCCATCCACTTCAGAAAAAACTGGCTACTGAAAACCTTATGAATAGCCGTGAAACACTGTCTGACATGT